AAAGGTGTTGCGGCGAACTCTGAAAAAATTGTTGCTATAATGGCCTAAGCCAAAAACGGTTAAGGCATTAAGGGGTTTCCTTGGATTGACCGGGTATTACAGGAAGTTTATTGAAAACTGGCAGGATTGCTAGACCCCTAACTTAGATGTTAAAAAAAGGGTGTTTTGAATGGAATTCCTTGACAAAAAAATCCTTCGAAGAACTAAAACAAGCAATGACCCGAGTGCTTGCGTTGGCCCTTCTAGATTTCAACCATCCATTTACAGTCGAATGTGATGCATCGAGATCTGGTATTAGAGGGGTTCTCATGCAAAACAAGAGACCCATTGCATTTTTCAACTGTGCTTTGCAAGGTAAAAAATTACTTTCATTTACCTATGAAAAAGAGATGTTGGCACTAATTCTTGCAGTGCAAAAGTGGAGGCCATATTTATAGGAAATGAAGTTCATTGTTTGAACAGATCAGCGTAGTCTCAAGCATTTATGGGAACAAAGGATCACCACTGTAGTACAAGAGAAGTGGTTGGTGAAATTGATGGGGTTTGACTTCACCATCGAATATAAAAAGGGGAATGAGAATTGTGTGGCTGATGCACTTTTACGTAGAGACGAGGTAGGCCAATTACTTGCTTTGTCGGCCCTGATCCCTACATGGATGGAGTCAATAAAAAAAGAGGTCGGTAACCACCCTAGCGTGCAACGATTAGTTAAGCCATGCCAACAAGGAGAAGCTATTGGGCCATGGGACTACAAAGAAGGTATCCTTTACTTCAAGAATAAGATTTATTTAGCAGTTGATTCTACTTTGATTCCTCTTATTGTTAAGGAGATGCATTCTAGTACTCATGAAGGGTATCACAATACTTTGCAAAGAATAAGGTCAGTTTTTTATTGGCAAGGCATGAGAAATTTTCTATGAGAGTATATCACAAGTTGTGAAACTTGCCATAGGCACAAAGGAGAGAATCTCAAGCCTGTTGGATTCTTACAACCACTTCCAATTCCTACGCAAGTGTGGACAAATATATCAATGGACTTTGTGGAAGGTCTGCCTAACTCAAAGGGGAAGTGTGTTATTTTTGTAGTAGTTGATCGGCTCTCCAAATTTGCACACTTATTCCTCTCTCTCATCCATACTCTACTGCCTCAATAGCTCAGGTTTTTTTTCAACAAATCTTTAAATTGTATGGCATGCCTAAAAGCATCGTATGTGATAGAGATGCCACTTTCACTAGCATTTTTGGAGAGAGCTTTTTAACTTGCAGGGAACCAACTTCAACTTTAGTTCCGCAAACTGACAGGCAAACCGAAGTGGTCAATCGAACAATCGAGATGTATCTTCGTTGTTTCACAAGTCATAGGCCGAAAGAGTGGGTTCGCTGGATTCCTTGGGCTGAGTACTGTTACAACACCAGCACACATTCTCCTACCAAGCGAACCCCTTATAAGATCGTGTTTGGCAAACCTCCACCCACACTTCTATCATATGTTCCAGGCACTTCACAAGTAGAGGCTGTGAATCAAGAGTTGCGAGATAAAGAGCCAGTTATCAAGGAGTTACTAGACCGATTGAATGAGGCTCAACAGCGAATGAAGGAGTTCTATGATGCTCACAGAACTGACAGAAATTTCAATGTTGGAGATTTTGTATATCTCAAGTTGCAACCATATAGGCAAGTGTCCTTAGCCCTTCGAAGAAATCTCAAGCTATCGCCCAAATATTATGGACCCTTTGAAATTCTTGATAAAATTAAACCAGTGGCATACAAGCTCAAACTACCAGAAAACTCAAGGCTTCATCTGGTGTCCCGCGTCTCTTTACTGAAAAAGAAGGTGAGGATGAATGTAGAAACTTTGGATTCTCTTCCCATCATTCCTGAAGAGAGTAATACAATTGTCCCTTTGCAGAAAGCCATCCTCAATCAGCGAAAGAAGAAAAACAGAGAAGAAGTTTTGGTTCATTGGCAAGGATTGTCACCTTCCGACGCCACATGGGAAAATTTAGCTGAGTTCTGTTTGCGAGCAAGACTTTAGTTGCAATAAATTAGTTGAATAAGTCTTTACTTGACATTAGGAGAATTTAAATTTCATATTCATGTTTATCAGATTTTCTGTTAGGTTATTCCTATTTTGTTGGGTTGTTCCAAGTTTAGTGAGATAGTGGGTTTGTTCCTATTTTAGTGTGATATTGGATGTTGACCTTTAGCAGATTAGTTCACTTTATTCCTATTTATTGTACTGATCCCAGTTGGAAATAATCATCCAGAATTTTATTCCACACTTGTGTGATACCCATTTTCTTTTTGATTTCCCTGTTCCTAACTCTCTTCCAGCAACTCTGTTTTTCTTTGTCTTTCCTTCCTAGCAAAAATAGGTAAACAGAAGAACAAGAACACCAGCTCTGCTACAGCCGCACATAACAGTATATTCATGTTGATAATTTTGGGCCTTCGACATGTAATCAGTCAATGAATTCTCTTTGTGGGTGAACTGAAGATATATTTTTAGAGTGAGAGGCAAAGATTTTGGAGAGAAATAAATGGTTGTGGGATGGGTTTGGTGATTGGGGTGGCGGGGGAGGACGGATGGTACCATGGGTGAAATTTGGCCTAAAATAATATTTGGAACCATGTCACATAAAATTTAATCAAAACAAATTCATGACATTACCTATCCAACTTGGACCCTTGACAATCATACTGGTAGTATTGTTATATGAGACTTTAATACTACAACTTACGCTGTATTTGGTTGGAGGATTTGAGAAGAGATTTGGAAAGGAAAAGGGAAAAGTTAGTGTCAGGCAGTAAATTGTGTGTCAAAAAAAAATCCTGTGACACTTTGTAATAAGACAGCAGACTTCTTTTTAAAAATTTATACAATTTAAAAAGCAACTATTAATATGACAATTTGGAAATCAAGACTTGTAAACAATCAAATAAGAAAATTACAGATAAGAATTCTCGACAAAGAGCCAGATGAATAGATGCATAGTTAATAAAGATGTAATAGTTTAATTAATATGAAAATGAAGAGTGCAATAGCTTAATTCATGTGAAGATGAAAAGCTGCAAATCAACCACGGAAAGAGAATGAGATACTGCCAAAAAAATAAATAAATAAAATAAAAGGACACATAACTTGGAGAAGACACATGACAGATTGTTACATGGACACGTAGCAACATTTGAAAGTTTCTAGCAAAAAGGCTAGTTTCATTGGCAAAGTTTTTTATTTGCACTTTTTGGGCTTAAAAAAAAAATAAAAATAAAATTGGTTAAAATAATTAATAAGACAAAATATCACATCAAACCTATAATCATTTTATTTTTTCTCTCACAAACATCACATCCAACTATAAAAAAATCAAACTATTTTCTCAAATACAAATTTTAGCCTCCTAAAATAATCAAAAACTAAAATAGTCTACTAAAATAGCAACTTCCCAAACACCTACTAGTTTTTGACTCATGTATGCAAGGGTTTTATTTTAAATTTTAATTTTTAAAAAATGTTAATAGTTGTATATAGAACAAATGTATAAAAATACATTCAATGTATGAATTTCTAATTTTTTTTATATGTTATTTGATTTTAACGAACGTCTAATGAACCATCATTAGCAAGACTGTTAAGTATATCAGATTGTGTTTTAAAATTAGTTTGTGTAAATATGTATGAATAATTGGTTACAATATTAATAAATAAGAAATTATGAAACTTCATATAATAGTTGCACATAAAAATATAAAAGTACATATAAATTAAAATTAAAAATTTGTTCATAAAAAGTATCAACAAATAAAACTTATACAAAAGTTTAAAATATATATATACAATTTTTTTTTTCTAACTAAAAAAAGAGAAAATTTCAATAAGAACTTCATATACTAATTAGTATACTAATTGTTATATATAACATTACTCATATTATATTGCTAACCCTCTTTGTTATATTAACTCAACACATTTTTTTATGTTGAAATTGTTTTAAACACTACATTTATTTTCAATCATTAGATTGGTGCTTTTGACTCCTTAGACATGTTAAAATGCATTATAATCATTTCAATCATAAGAGGTTGTAGTTGAAGAGAGTGGATTGGACTGATTAAGGGTTAAAAATCCTTTATCCTTTCTATGGACAAAAAATATATTTTACATTTTTTAATATTTAGTACAATGTAAAATAAAAATCAAAGAAAAATATTTTTTTATGATCAATAGAATAAAAATATTTTTCGAATTAAAATTTTACTATTATAATCACATTTTTCCACCACTACCACCTCCACCATCACACCAACACCACCACAGCCACAATCACTATCTTCGCCGCCATCACCACACCGCCTTCGCTTTCACCTTTGTCCCACCGCCAACAAACATAAAAATTATAAATTTACGATCCATATTATAAGCATATAGAGATTTTGAGTGTATTTAGAATTTGCATTGCCACCCCCACATCACCACACTTTCACCTCCCTCACCCACTTCCTCCACCCCTTTCCCACCGCCTCCATTTCTTTCTCTACTATTCCAGTGCATCCCCTCCATCACAGCCTCCCTTGTGAGTCACCATCTCTCCAACCATCACCACTTTTCTTTCTCTAACAAAATTTCCTAAACCCTCCCAACAAAACAAATAATATAAAAATAAAAATGCATATATGGTTGTGCATAGTTGACTATTCAACATTGTAAAAATTAATTGAGCTCTGCCACCAAGCGTGTAACATATCCAGGATGAATTCTGAAGATTATTACAGGGTTAGGCTGTTGGGCATGCAACATATTTTTACATACACAAAAACAACCTGTCCAATCTCAGCTAACCGGAAGCTTATTGCAAGCAACATTTATCTATCTGCTTAGCCATAACACGATATTTTAAATTACAAAGCATTTCACAAGACATGAAATATAATTGCAGACATCTCTCACTTGCACACCCTAATTTAGCCAGAGCAAGAAAATTTTGGCTCATTCCAGTTCCTTTAGATATAAATCACACAAATTATATAAATATTAATATATCACACCAAACTCTTAACTAGCAAAACTACATAAAATGAAGCATTGGTTGAACTGGATAATTACTCCATCCATAGATACAATAGTCTCCGATCAGATGCATAATTTATAGATTTCAGTGTGGTTCAGACATTCATGAAGTAGTTGTGAACAACATCACAACATTTAGTAGCCTATTTAAATTGGGGACAATTGTTGCGCATGAATTCACAAATCGTATCTTTCTCCCTAAGGCACTGCATGATTGAAGAAAAGGAAAAACAAATGTTATAACTCTGGACAACCTCACGATTATGTAACACTAACAACTTGTTTAGTAAAAACACAATCGATAATTTAAATAATTAGTCCATGTTATTCATTCTCAAGTAGAAAAAGCAAGAAACGGTTATTTATATCACATGTACAAATATCTACAAGCTCCTAAAATAAACACAATTTACCTTCTTGTACTTCTCATAAGATATTCTGCAGTATCGAGGGTTCTTTTCCCTTTTATGCCGCACGTAATCTATAGGACGGTCAAAACCTGCAGCAGTTGCCTTTTTCTGGAGAGATTCCTCATATTCTGCACTAAAAAGCAAGATCCAACACAATTCAACCATGTATATAACAAATTGTTTTGGGTTAAATTACAAATATACCACTGAGGTTTATCAAAAGTACAAATTTTCTCATAATTTGACAAATTTCAAATATCCCCCGTCAACGATTGTCTCTTAAATTAATAGAATTAATAGATAATGTAAATTACCTAATTACCCTCCAATATCTAAATAAATTTACCCTAATAACTACACCTCCTTCCTCCATTATGCAAACCCGTGTCCACCCTCATCCACTCTCCTTTGCCACCCCCACCCCTTCGCATGCTCAACCAACACCCTTTTGCAGCCATGGACAAGAAAAGCTAGAACAATTGCCCTCTATATTAGCTTCTCTCTCAACTTGTCCTCAATCCCCCTTTGTTCCTTTTCATTTTCTCCCACTTTATCATACCACCATCCACAATTGGCTTAACACATACTATTTTCTCATGAGATGAAGTTGTTGGAACCTAAATTTGGCTTAACACATATTATTTTCTCATGAGATGATGTTGGAACCTAAGTAGCACAAACACAGATGTGCCAACATTCCAATTTTCCAAAAATGTAGAACACGACATTTTTGAAAAACGTTAAAATTTTATATTTTTCACAAATTTATTATGTGCCATATACAGTGTTTTAAAAGGCGCGCGTAAGCGCAAGGCACAACGAGGCGCACCCTTGCGCTTCAAACTGGTCAAGGCAAGGCGCAGGCACGGGTTTTTTTCCGAGGCGTGAGGCGTGGCCTTTATGGGCTTTACTTATTTTTTTATTCCAACTGTTGATTAAGTGCTTTTAATTTCTTGTTTGAACTACAAACTAGAAGCTTAGTTGTTTTGAACTTTATGTGGATGATCTTAAAACTTTAGGTTTTTTGTGCATAAGAATGTGATACTTTATATCTTTTGTTAGATATTATATTTCTAATTTTTAGAAGATTGAATGTTATGTTTATCAATCATTTGTAATGGTGAAACTTCCTTTGTTATTTTTGGAATTCTATATATATTTGTTATGTTGAAAATTTTGCCTATTTTATAATTTTACTTTTCTTCTACTACTGCGCCTCACCATGCCTCGCCTCGCACCTCACACTTAGGCTATAGAAGACCTTATCAACTCGGTGCGCATAGAGCCTTTCAAAACATTGGTCATATATACAAATAATTTATTCAAAGATAATTAAAAAAATATAACATAACTCTAATTACAATAAAAAAAACAATACATTTCATAGTTTGAATATCAAGATATCATTCACATGAGAATTGCATTATAACGAATGCAGAACACTGTTATATAAAGGGGTTTATCACGTAGGGCTTGAATAAGCAATGCAATAAACGTCGCCAAAAGTGTTTGCATTGTGTTGGTTAAATGTCTGATATTATAAATTTAATTTTTAATTAAAACAAGATGAAGTGTCAAACACACTTTTAGGAGTATCCAAAGCATCTCGGTGTTAGACAAAACACGCTTGCTGGTGACTAGTTCAGTGGTGAACACATTGTGTTGTTGGTGACTAGTTTGGTGTGGGTTTGAGCAAGAAGTGAGTGCATTTTGGCAATGAGGTTAAAGATGCACGCCAGGAACACGCTTCAGTCAGTGGTAGACCTAAAAATCTCGTTTAGGGGAGCCAAATTATATATACAATAAAAAATTGACTACAAAATTTATTCTATTAAATTCTTACCAAAGTTTAGTATTGTTTAATTTGGCTCTTCTAGGAAAGTGGTTGTGGCGGTTTGGGGTAGAAATGGATCGGTTGTGGAGAAAAGTGGTGGAGGCTAAATATGGGTTAGGGTGGGGGGGATTGGAGTACAGGGGAGGTGAAGCAATCACACGGGCGGAGTTTGTGGAAAGGGATTTGGTTAGGTCGGGAGGAATTTTGGAAGAGGGTTTGTTTTAAGGTAGGGGTGGGGGATCAAGTTCGATTTTGGAGGGATCGGTGGTGTGGAGAATTGGCTTTGGAGGTGAGGTTCTCATTGATTTTTCGCATTGCGGTTGATCAGGAGGCAACGGGGGCCTCCTGTGTACAAGTGCAAGGGTTGGAGGTGGTGTGGAATGTCGGATTGCGTCATGATGTGTAGGATTGGGAGCTAGACCAGCTACCGGATTTGTTGGGCTTTTTGTATGGCCTTCGGTTTGGGAGGGTTGGAGAGGATTGTTTGAGTTAGGATGGCCCGAAGACCAAAGGGGTTTTTTCGGTGTACTAACAACTTGTTTAGTAAAAACACAATCGATAATTTAAATAATTAGTCCATGTTATTCATTCTCAAGTAGAAAAAGCAAGAAACGGTTATTTATATCACGTGTACAAATATCTACAAGCTCCTAAAATAAACACAATTTACCTTCTTGTACATCTCATAAGATATTCTGCAGTATCGAGGGTCCTTTTCCCTTTCATGCCACAAGTAATCTATAGGACGGTCAAAACCTGCAGCAGTTGCCTTTTTCTGGAGAGATTCCTCATGTTTTGCATTAAAAAGCAAGACCCAACACAATTCAACCATGAATTTACAAAAAAAAAATTGGGTTAAATTACAAATATACCCCTGAGGTTTATCAAAAGTACAAATTTTCTCATAATTTGACAAATTTCAAATATCCCCTGTCAACAATTGTCTCTTAAATTAATAGAATTAATAGATAATGTAAATTACCTAATCACCCTCCAATACCTAAATAAATTTACTTTAATACCTACATCTCCTTTCTCCATTATGCAAACCCCTGTCCACCCTCATCCACTCTCCTTCGCTACCTCCATCCCTTTGCATGCTCAATCGACACCCTTTTGTAGCCATGGACAAGAACGCTAAAACAATTTCCCTCTATATTAGCTTCTCTCTCAACTTGTCCTCAATCCCCCTTTGTTCCTTTTCATTTTCTCCCACTTTATCATACCACCATCCACAATTGGCTTAACACATACTATTTTCTCATCAGATGATGTTGTTGGAACCTAAATAGCACAGACACAGATGCACCAGCATTCCAATTTTCCAAAAATGTAGAACGCGACATTTTTTAAAAACGTTAAAATTTTACATTTTTTACAAATTTATTATGTGTCATATACAGTGTTTTAAAAGGCGCGCGTAAATGCGAGGCAAAATGAGGCGCACCCTTGCGCTTCAAACTGGTCAAGGCGAGGCGCAGGCACGGATTTTTTTTTCGAGGCGTGAAGCGTGGCCTTCATGGGCTTTACTTATTTTTTTATTCCAACTGTTGATTAAGTGCTTTTTATTTCTTGTTTGAACTGCAAACTAGAAGCTTAGTTGTTTTGAACTTTATGTGGATGATCTTAAAACTTTAGGTTTTTGGTGCATAAGAATGTAATACTTTATATCTTTTGTTGGATATTATATTTCTAATTTTTAGAAGATTGAATGTTATGTTTATCAATCATTTGTAATGGTGAAGCTTGCTTTGTTATTTTTGGAATTCTATATATATTTGTTATGTTGAAAAATTTGCCAATTTAATAATTTTGCTTTTCTTCTACTACTACACCTCACCTTGGTGAGGTGCACGCCTCGCCTCGCACCTCACACTTAGGCTATAGAAGACCTTATCACCTCGGTGCGCATAGAGCCTTTTAAAACACTAGTCATATATACAAATAATTTATTCAAAGAATTAAAAAAATATAACATAACTCTAATTACAATTAAAAAAAAAACAATACATTTCATAGTTTGAATATCAAGATATCATTCACATGAGAATTACATAATAACGAATGCAGAACACTGTTATATAAAGGGGTTCATCACGTAGGATTTGAATAAGCAATGCAATAAACGTCACCAAAAGTGTTTGCATTGTGTTGGTTAAATGTCTGATATTATAAATTTAATTTTTAATTAAAACAAGATGAAGTGTCAGTCACACTTTTAGGAGTATCCAAAGCGTCTCGGTGTTAGACAAAACACGCTTGTTGGTGACTAGTTCAGCGGTGAACACATTGTGTTGTTCGTGACTAGTTTGGTGTGGGTTTGAGCAAGAAGTGAGTGCATTTTGGCAATGAGGTTAAAGATGCACACCAAGAACACACTTCAGTCAATGGTAGACGCGAAAATCTCGTTTAGGGGGGCCAAATTATATATAAAATAAAAAATTGACTACGAAATTTATTCTATTAAATTCTTACCAAAGTTTAGTATTGTTTAATTTGGCTCTTCTAGGAAAGTGGTTGTGGCAGTTTGGGGTAGAAAGGGAGCAGTTGTGGAGAAAAGTGGTGGAGGCTAAATATGGGTTAGGATGGGGGGGATTGGAGTACAGGGGAGGTGAAGCAATCACACGGGCAAAGTTTGTGGAAAGGGATTTGGTTAGGTCGGGAGGAATTTTGGAAAAGGGTTTGTTTTAAAGTAGGGATGGGGGATCGAGTTCGATTTTGGAGGGATTAGTGGTGTGGAGAGTTGGCTTTGGAGGTGAGGTTCTCATTGATTTTTCGCATTGCGGTTGATCGGGAGGTGACGGTGGCCTCCTGTGTACAAGTGCAAGGGTTGGAGGTGGTGTGGAATGTCAGATTGCGTCGTGATTTGTAGGATTGGGAGCTGGACCAGCTGCTGGATTTGTTGGGCTTTTTGTATGGCCTTCGGTTTGGAAGGGTTGGAGAGGATTGTTTGAGTTAGGATGGCCCGAAGACCAAAGGGGTTTTTTCGGTGTATTCCTTCTATCATATGCTTACGGGAGGGGCTAGGGTGCCATTCCCGTGGAAGAGTGTTTGGGTGGCAGGTTGTCTGTCCAAGGTTGCTTTCTTTGTGTAGACATCATTGTTTGATAATCTGATTCGCCGTGGCCATATTTTAGTGAATTGGTGCTGCATGTGTTGAGGGGCTGAGGAAACAGTGGATCATTTGCTTGTATGTTGCCCAGTTGCTTCACATCTTTGGATGTTTATTGTCGTTATTTTTGGTTTGGTTTGAGTTCAACCAAGGTCAGTGTTGGCGGTTTTACAAAGTTGGGCTGGGGGTAGGTTTGGGAGGCGGCATCGGAAAGCATAGAAGTTGGCTGGACGTTGTTTGATGTGGTTGATTTAGTTGGAGCGAAATAGACAGGTTTTTATGAGAGAGATGCGTTCGGTGGCATGGTTGGAACAACGTTTGTTCACTGTGCTACATAGCTGGATATCATTATCAATTGATCCGAATGTGCTATCTTTGTTGACTTCGTAGAGGATTTGATTTAGTAGTTGTTTTGATGCTCTTGTGGAGATGTTTTGTGTTGCTCTTGTATATGTGTTTTGCTGGCTAGTCTTTTAGTTGGTTTTGTATTATTTGCATCATCTTCATGTTTTTTCAATAAAGTTTGCTTATTTATCAAAAAAAATACTTATAAGAATAAGAATTGAACATTATTATTAAATTCGCAAAAAAAAAAAAAATTCAAACAATAAATACTTGACATTTATGAAACAAAAAGTATGTACAAAATAAAAAAATAAAAATAATAGCATATACTAAATACTTTATCACAATGATCATAGCCATACTGGTCGTAGCTAACACCAACTTGAGTCATCGAATACCAATTTGGTCATAACCAAAGTCACTACAATAAGTCGTAACTAAAATCACTTTTACACATAATCAAACATAATAATGAGACTTAACCAATTTTTATTTAATACTTTGTTAGCCTCACTAAGACAATGGCCTATAACTAAAAACCATGATGACTCGTAACCAACACCAATTTAGACCATAATTAGCATATGGTATACACCACGTGTATTGCATCATAACCCTAACTAAAGCAAATTGAGATTTTTGAGGGGCCAATTGTTTACCAGTTATAAAACCAAGAGCAAATATGACATATTTTACAAGAATTTTAAAATGTTTGAAGGGGCTTGGAAGATACTTGCCAAAAGTTTGATACATTGTCTCACAAGGATGTAGCCTTACTGGTGTTTGCAATTTGCAATCATTAACAGAGTTGTATATGAATTTATATGGAAGTATATAATAATGAAAATAAAATGAAAAAGTCATTTCTTTTCCTAATAGGGTGTGGTTGAGGGAGAAAGGAAGAGAATAGGAAAGACAAAGAGAGAAAGGAGCAAAGTGTTTAGGTATGTTGAAAAATAAAATTGCTAACATCATCTACTTTTGCTAGTAGACCTAAAGGTTGACCAACAAAGAATTGTCATGTGATTTGAAACATCGAGGGGCAGTATTTACTTTCTAGAACCTCAAGGGGTATATTTATAACTTTCAAAACATTTTCTAAATAAAAATAAAATGAATAAACATAAATCAACATTGGGGAGGAAAAGAAATCGTAAATAACTGAAATATGACATCTACAAAGATCAACGAGGTCAAATTAAGCTACTTGTGCCATCAAACAAATGTTCATGACTTAGAGCATGAGAAATCCAATTACAGCATACGGTGTTAACATAGGTAAAATTAGGCTGCTTGTGCCATCAAACAAATGTTGATGACTTCGAGCATGAGAAATCCAATTACAGCATACGGTGTTAACATTAATACAAACAAGCTTTTCCAAACCACCCAAAAAAAAAAAAAAAACCCAATCAACCCAAACCAATATATATATTAAACAAAAGCCTCTAGCTGGCCACTCCTTGTCAAAATTATTGCAAGCTTCTATCTGTAAGAATTTCCAATGACAAGCTTCTAACTGAGATTTCTCGTTGGCTTATTGGAGATGGAACTTAAACTCACTTTTGGATAAGTCATTAATAGAATCTGCTACAGTGACTCATCTTTGCTTTCCTAAAAACTTAAAAGACTTTCAGATTTGAGGCCAATCAATCTTTGTAACTTTAGTTACAAGGTGATCATGAAGATCCTATCCAACAGACTAAGTTGACTTCTTCCTATCATAATCTCAACCACCACTCCCTTGTACCACTAATTCAAAACACACACACACACAAAAATATATATATATATATATTAACTAACTTACTTTAAATGTACAGGTATCCTCAAGGAAGTTGGTAGGAGAATGGTTATAGACCTGTGATGACAAGTGCACCCCTGTAGCTGCCTTAAAGACAAGTTTGGCGATAGACTGAGATCACAATTCCTAATGAACATATCAAAATCCTTCATCCTTCAAGTAACTTATCCCCACTAATCTTCTTTGAAACTACCGTAATATTAAACTTAAAGTCACCACCGACACCAACTGGGAGAACGCAACACATAAAGAGCAACTAACTCCTCCAAAAAGAAAGCTATTAACCTAGGATTGTTCGGGCTGCAAACATTGGTAAACCCCACTCTCTCCTAAATCCTTCCTCCCTCCTTGTCATGGTTGCCAGATTCCCCTTCCATAAGTCCAAAGTAACTAACGGCAGCATTAGAATTGCAGCCATCAACTAGTACAAGATCCTTACGAGGAAAAAGAATATCATCTCAAGCCCCAATGCAAGCATCTCTCAAAGGATTGGAAGGTGTTAGAGATTCAGTATCAAAAATGGAAAGCAATAATGCCCCTTCAAAGCCAAGTACACATATGATCATACCCATTTGATTTGCATACACGAAGATCCATTTCAACGGTGAAAACACCATTACCATTTGTTCCCTCATTTCCTTTTTGTATCAATCCTTATGAATGATTTTCCCCTCGTTCTTGATCAAGAAGCATTGTTGAATAAAATCACTGTATCCAAGTTGGACTCTTGCAACGCTGAGATCGAGTTTTTGTTGTGATCATCGCCACCCAAAGACTCATCTAAGAAGTCATCAGATTCACCATAATCCCCAAATTTTGGCAACGCTTGACAACCACCAAATATCCTTCATCAATGTCTTCCCCATGAATTGATTGAATACCCCCGCCATCATCACAAAAATCCTCTTGATCAAGATTATCCTTCATAAAGCCTTCATGCATAACCATCAACATCCCTTTGCAACTTTTCACTAACCAGATCACCAGGCTCGAGCCATCTTTCCTGTTCTTGAAAAAACTGAAGATTTCCTATTGGAGAAACACCATCAAGAAGTCTCACTTCTGACTGATCAAACCATATTGATCGAATAAAACAGGACCATCAATAACCTTCATAACTCATAAGAAACGTTAACCCACATTATCAATGGTTTAAAAGGCCAAAGCTTGCATGCCTACATGATGTCTCCACAAATATAGTTATTTTTATGTAATTATTGTAGCACACCTCTACCCCCACCCCGAAGCCAGCAGTTTTCTTTCCATTCAAGATGTTTTGTTTATAACAAAATTACAAATTACAAACATTATTAGCTCCAATGATTGGAGCTGATAATGTTAGAAATGAATAAACTAAGATAGTTTGGATATGTACAACGAAGTTGGTAGAGGCAACACTAAGATAGTGCAACAGGATTACTGCTAGTGGAAATGCTATGGGGAGTGGAAGACCTAGATTGACATGTGATACAATGGTGAAGAAGGATATGAATTTACTTAAGCATATGGCCCACGTAGCCAACCCCAATTGATTGGGACAAAAGGTTTGGTTTGGGTGATTTGGTTAAGTACCAAATAAGTTTCAACCTAAATCCGGATACAAAATTCCCATACACTATGAATCAAAAATAATTGGCCCACATTTTTCAGCATGCATTCTCTATTGAATTACCAGAAAACCACCTGACAAGTTAGCATTAATCACAACTTTATAAATTGGGATTCATGTCTAGTTTTCAAACCTAATCATTTCAGCCCACCATAGGTTTCTCATTTTTACTTTCTCCCTTCTTAATATTACACAATGTTGTATCCATTCATCAAAAATACACCATGTTGTCTCCTCTTTGTTTCTTTATCTTTCTTTAGAAAGTAAACTTCTTCAATCACAACCCAAATAGCTTGCATTACATGTTTTCTAAACCTTAAGATCCAACTTTCACCGGTCCTAATCCTGAGATTCTTTTTACCACTAATCCATCACCGCCCCATGAGAAACCTTAATAAAGTTCATAATTGAAATTTATGCAAGCCGCTTTTTTGATAAGCAATAGTAACTATAATTTCAAAGCAAAAGCAGTCTACATTGTACAAGAACTCAAAGCAAACAAGTTTATTAACTACATTGCCTCCCAAGAAAATCAAAAATAAAATGAATCCAATAAATACAGTAAATTGGAAGGCCTACAACCATCTAATGACATCCCAAAAAAAATAGTGATCAGTCGAATACGGACATGATTTTTGTCAACACGTGCTACTCCCACGAACAATCCCCAAAAAAACAAAACCTTAGAACATGGTATTTTGCGTTTTAATGGATCAAAAGTCATATTACAATAGATAAAGACACCTTAAAATACAATCCTATACAACGATTGAACCTTCTTAGTTTTCCTTTTAGAATTGGTATGGAACTCTTGGTTTGTATGAAATACAGTATAGAGTTTCTTGCATAATTAAAATGCAGAACCATCTTACAAGCACCAAGAAATCATCATTTTATTCTTTAATATTTAATGGCAAAAGTGGCACCTCACAGGAAACAAGAAAGTTTATAGATATGCATACAAACCCCACTTACGTTCAAGACAAGATGCCTTCGTTTTGCGAATTTTTTCAGAGTGTTTGGCATCATAACTGGTTGGAGTTGTGCTCTTGCACTGCATAATAGAGAAAGGAAAAAATATTAGTACAACCACTGTACTTAAAAAGAAAATTGAAAAGGAAAACATGAAAGCTCTCCAAACACTTTTTTAGATAAAACTAAAATCTTCGCATTAGGAAAATTAAATCTTTGGATTTAAGCCATAAACCTATGACCCATCCTGGTGTAGGACGGGGCAGAGAAAGGGAGAAGAACTCAAAGTCGGCCACAGCGTTTTACTCTCAAATAATATTCTTAAAACTGAATATTACAATGTCAAAACCCTAATATTTATATAACCAAAGTCTTATATTCTAATTAGGAAACCTAACCAATTAATATTCCTGACTAACTTTATTCAATTAAATCCAAGTAAAAAATAATAATAAACTGCCAATTACAATTATGGGACCAAAAATACTTTGGACCCGTGGACTTCAACATTGGCTTCCAAATCCAATAATTGCCATCTAACCAATCAAGGGCTGCGCCATCACATCTTCAACTAAGAAAAGAGCCAACAACTACTATATCACCAATAACCATTCCCAATGACATTGAACTGTGAAAAATTGTACCTCTTCATATTCTTTGTCAACATTGTCACATGGATCTAGCTCCACCATTCCTGGAAAATTTGTCAAGTTCTTGCTTAGAGCTGATAAACTCAATATGACTGCAACATTTCTAGTAACTACAAAGACAGAGAACAAAAGGGTAAAGGTAAACACGTAAACAAGATATCATAACTGTAAAATAAAACGGAAGAAAGCTAGAGAAATTGCTGAAAGCCGATCGCTACTTCCCTTAGAAATGAAAAGCAGGATATGACTGCAACATTTCTAGTAACTACAAAGACAGAGAACAAAAGGGTAAAGGTAAACACGTAAACAAGATATCATAACTGTAAAATAAAACGGAAGAAAGCTAGAGAAGTTGCTGAAAGCCGATCGCCACTGCCCTTAGAAATGAAAAGCAGGGAAGTCACTAGGAGCGATCGAGCAACTTGGTTTAGTATGAGAAAAATGGTTCACACTAAACTCTTTGAACCAGAAGAAGCTGAAGAAGATTTTCCTGCAAAAGACAAGAACAAAAAATTTGAGAAGAAAAACATGGAAAGACAATATCAAAAACAATTAACCCATAACATAAATTAGTTAAACTAAACCATAAAAACATCAATTTGCAACGTAGGTTGAGCTTGTAAAAAACTTAGAAGTTCAACAAAGAACCTTTATTAAAATATATCCACAAAAACATACTGAGAAAGAAATGTCAATGCTGAAAGTAAAACTAGTGATAAATGAAGCATAAAAAGTAACTAACAATATTTGTTTTTAATTTTTGGTTTCCAACATGCTGCAAGTTGTACACAGATGCCATGTACCTTTTGTGAGAAGATCAAAAAGACACTGAAATTTAAAAAAACCTCTACCATTTTGAGCAAATGGTTTCAGATAACAAAAAGCACAAACAGATCGAAATAGGCAAAAAAAATATAATTAAATTATGTTTAAAGCGAGATAGAAAAAGAGAGAGAGATGGCAAAAGGAAACAGATACTGACCTCCACCACGAAAAAAACGAAACATGACTCCTTATCAACAGGAAGCAAGGTTGTAAAAAATTGAATTGTTGTTTTGGGATTCTACCAGCCTAGATAGGATCATCAAATCAAGAATCGTAAGATCCTAGAAGAAATAGAATATGTATAACAATTTTTATATGATTAATGAATACTATCAAAATTAAGAGAGAATGCAATTGAATAATAAAAAATAAATTAATTAAAACTATCTTTGAAAAAACAAAATTAATCAGATAAACATTCACAAATTGACCTAAACAAACTTGAAGATTTGTGAATTATAAATGTCGGTATGAGGAGATTCATTTGTTTGCCATGTTCACTAACGCTAACATTAAGCAATATGTGGTGTCCCTAAATCCGTATCCATTTTTTTTTTTTTTTAATTTTTTTACAGTTTCTAGGCAAATCCCCTTATTTGACAATTAGGAGAATATGCGAAGAACAACCGTACCGAGTCCAGGTGGCGTGAGATAGGCCAAAGCAAAGAGCACACAAACAAGGTTGACAGGAAGGAAGGAAATTGATAATTGAATGAAGGCAAATAATTTAAGGATTAAACATTTGAAATTATAACAAACTATCAGTCTACAACAGCACAGCACATTCTTTCTCAGTTAATAGAATTGATTTAAAATGCTAATTCCATAACAACGACTCTCAGAGAAATAGACAACCTAATTCATAAGCATTGTAAATCACAACCATAACTCATTCTTCAGTAGAGGGCCAAAATTAATCATTAACAAGAAAAATAAGACCAACAAAAAAATACAGAAATTGTAATTCTATTGTTAAGAAGAGGCGGAGAAGATTGGCCTGGATCTCAAACCTAAAGGGGAAAAACCGGGAAAACAAAAATGCTGAACACGAAGAAAAAGCTATCAGCCCTAGCCCGAAAACAAAAAAACCCCCAAAAATAAGCAGCGACGTGAAGAAGAAGAAGAAGAAAAAGAAGAAGAAGAAGAGAGGTACATGAGGAGCGGAGGGTTGAATGGAAGATGTTCTTTCTTTCTCGTGTTGCTGCGATACATATACCGCCCATTTTATATTCCCCAAAAATATCCCGCTACACTTCTATTTTAGGTTTGTTACACTTCTAGGCTATAGGAACATTAGGATCGTTTGGATGTCCTAAATAAAATTTTTTTTTTTATTTTTTAGATTAAAAAGTAGAAGAAAAAAATATGATTATTTAAGATAATTTTTTGACTTTTTATAAAAAAAATATGTATTAAAATATTATATAAAATAATAAAATTACCATTTTACAGCTACTATAATGAATTGCTTCCTCACTTTGATTGTTTAGGAAGCCAGACAATGGGCAAGAAACAAGTATAGGAGCAGATTACCTACAATCCGAGATTGGACTAGACGTTGTTGTTCAACCCGTGGGGGCCATCATGGGTCTCGTTTTGATAATCGGAACTATTCAATATGTAGAAATTGTCAAGTATTATATGCTTGTAAAAAATCATGTTGGTCGGATATGATAGCTATCTGATCAGATTAGTTTTTTGTCAATCGTTAATTTCTTCACCGTCAATTTTTTTTTACAAAACTGATTTGATCATATAGCTATCGATATCCGATCAACGTATTTTTTACAAGCATATAATACTCTACGAGTTCTACACATTTAACGGTTTAGATTATCAAAACAGGACCCATGATGGGCCCCACGAGCCGAACAGCACCATCTTGTGCAAATTTTTTTGTACACCCACTTGACCATCACTTCAATACTGACAGTGGTTTGTACTTGGCCTGTATAAAGCGGAGTTTTTTATATATATATTTTTTGTGAATAGTAATAATTTTTTACTTTTTTAGTAGCTTTTTGAATTTTTGTATTTTTTAGTGTATGTCAAACCAGGCCTTACTATGTAATCCTATGTCCTTCTAATCCCAATATATTTTTGATAGACCAATAGATCCACAATTTTTAGAGTTTTGTACCCAGAGGTCTCTTTTTTATTTCTTATTTTTTAAATGACTGTATTACTCTTTGATTTGATATATATATATATATATATATGTGTGTGTGTGTGTGTGTGTGTGAAAAATCAAATTTTAGATTGTGGATCTCGCCTATGTGAGGTTGTCTGCGATCTCGATCGCCCTCTGTGAGGTCGATCTCTTTGTGCTGTGAGGTCGATCTGTTTGTGCGATCTGAATTGTTATGTACAGGCGATCTCTGCGTACGCACTCTGTGTGTGTGTGTGTGTGTGTGTGTCTCTCTCTCTCTCTCTCTCTCTCTATCTATCTATCTCTCGATACATATGTATGTTTATATATAGATAAGCAAATTCGTATGATCTCTGGTTCGTGTTCGTCAATGTTGTTATAGTTCTTTGTTTTGTGATAAATTTTGTTTGTTTGATATTGATTTTGTGATTTTTGTATGTGATATAGTGTAATGATTTTGATTTTTTTTTTTTATTTTGTTTGTTATATAGTGTAATGTGTTTTGAATTTGTAGTTTAGAATTGTGAATTCTAAAGTTTTGATGCTGATATGTTATAACTATATAATTTTACAGTTTGGACTCTATTATCAATTGTTTGCCGGTTTGTGATTTGTAATATGGAAGGGTGTTTCATGTTAATGTGTAAATACGGTAAGTCTTGTGCTCTTATTAAGATTAGTGAGGGATGTAGTTATCATGAAGTTATTGAGAAAATATGTGCGAAGTTCAAGGAGTTGAGTGTTGGTAACTTTTGTTTATTTTTCTCTATTTTTGGATATTCGAATTATATTGTTGAATGTATTGATGATTTGGAGAATATGATGTCAATGGTAGCTTCTAGTGGTTCTCATGTTGTTGATGTTATTGTGGGTGATAGGAGAATTGTGAAAGTTGATGATAATTCTTCTAGGATTGATTTTGTAATTTGTGAGAGTCTTTGGTTAACGATTGTGATAATTTTGGTAGTTTGTTGTCTACTAGTTGGAAGGGGATTATACACAGTGTTGGTCAAGAATTTGACGATAGAGTACCGACATTCCGTATTGCATTGGCTAAGTATGTAGTTGAGTGTGGTTTTGAAGTGAATTATTTGAAGAATAATGCAACAAGAGTAATTGTTGAATGTATGATGAAGTCGGCTACGAGTTATAAATAGTTTGTACATGGAAGGGTGCTTACGAATTACGGTATTTTTTTTATTATGACGTTGGATAATGTGCATACTTATGGAGTTGTTACTCGTAGATCTTGTAGCAAAATGGTTGGTTCTAGACGTGTCTCTGATATTGTGCATAATGATATTAGTAAAAATCCGTTGACTCGTCCTATCGAAATTAAAAAAAAGTTGAAGAAACAATATGGTATAGATGTTTCTAATTGAATTGCATGGTTAGGAGTTGATATGGCAAGAGGTGGGTTATTTTGGTGATTTTACATTTTCTTTTGACCAACTTCGATGGTACCTTGAGACGAGTATAAGAACGAATCCTGGAAGTATGTTTGAATTAGATGTGAATGAAAGTAGTAGGTGTTTTCGGAGGTTGTTTATGGCATTTCATGGATGTTTGTATGGATTTTAATTTTGTCGTCCGTTGTTGTTTGTTGATAGTACATTCTTGAAAGGGCGTTATAAGGGGCATTTGCTTGTAGCAACATCAAACGATGGTAATCAAGGTATATATTTATTTGGGGTAAATTACACTGATACCTCATGAGATTTATGTTTATTACAGTTCCCCCCTCATCGTTTGGAAATTACATCTCCTTCCCTGAGGTTTAAAGTTTCATTACAGATTCCTTCCTCAGCAATTTAATTTTTTTTAAATACCAATTTTGCCCTCACTGGGTAAATTACAATGAAACCCTCACATTTTAGAAATTACAATCCCCTCCCTAAGGTTTAAGGTAGCATTACCAATTGCCCCCTTGGTTAGTATTAGTTGGAAAAAAAATTCATTGGAAAAAAAATTGTTAGTAAAATTTTTAAATTTTTGTTTAAAAAGTAACTTAAACTTATTTTTTGAATTTACGTTTTTTCCTTAAATTTACAAACTGAGACAACAATTTATAAACAAAAAAAATTATCAAACAAGTTTTTATGACAGTTTTTAAAATTTTTGTAAATATAAATTGAAAACTGAAAACGAAATGGTTACCAAACAGGCCTTAGATGGTAACAATGTCGCAAAATTAACAAATAATTAAATAAGTTACTAACGTCAGAAATGACTTATCAAAAGATTCTTAGGTTATGTATGGTTTGATTTTTAGAATTTTTTTTGTGGATGTGGTTAATTAATTTGGTTAAGAAATAAAAAATAAAAAATAATTATCTTTTTTATATAATTTTTATCTTTCGAGTGGTTAGAAATAATTTTTTACAAATTAAATTGAAACAGCCATACGTATGTATATAACTTGCCCAAAAGTTAAAATGATAATTATTTTTTACCCTTTATTTCTTAACCAAATTAATTTTTAATTTTTTAAATGGCTGTTTCAATTTAATTTGTAAAAAATTATTTCTAACCACTCGAAAGATAAAAATTATATAAAAATGATAATTATTTTTTATTTCTTAACCAAAATTATATATTAAAAAATCCAACTATCTTCCCAAACACAAAAATTTTAGCATGCTAAAATAGTCAAAACTAAAATAGCAACTTCCCAAACACCCACTAGTTTTCGACTCATGTATGCACGGGTTTTATTTTACATTTTAATTTTTAAAAATGTTGATATTTGTATATAGACAAATGTATAAAAATATGTTTAATGTATGAATTTCTAATTTTTTTTTATATATTATTTGATTTTTAACGAACGTTTGATTTTTAACGAACATATAATGAACCGTCATTAGCAAGACTCTTAATTTTATCAGAGATTGTGTTTTAAAATTAGTTTTGTGTAAATATGTATGAATAATTGGTTACAATATTAATAAATAAGTGTAAAAATTTAATGTATAAAGAGAAATGATTGTATTATTAATTGATGTATTGATTGTTACAATGATTCCTATATATAGAAGAGTAGGTGGTAGTAGGTGGTAGGTGGGGTAGGTGAAGTGGAGGTGGTAGTGGTGTAGTGGGTTAGGTTTAGTGGAGTAGGTGAGGTGTAGTGGGTTAGGTTTAGTGGAGTAGGTTTAAGTGGGTGAAGTAGGTGATAGGTTTTAACAGCCCCCCGCAAACTCAAGGGGGATAGGAACTAGCCAACTTGAGTTTGGAGAGAGTAACAAAACAAGAAAATAGACGAATACATAAAAGAAAAGAGGATAGTAGACACTGTATGGTCGTGTCAGACCGATGGTGAAGACACTGTATGGTGGTGTCATAACGTTGTAGAGGACACTGGATGGTTGTGTCAGATCGATGCAGAAGACAATGTTGTGACAGTTGTTGTGACAGTTTACGGAGTCTTGCTGGACCCTTGTAGAAACTAACCGGAATCAATGTCGGGACAGTTTACAGAGTCTTGTCGGACCCATGAAGGAGCTAACCGGAATCAATGTCGGGACAGTTTACAGAGTCTTGTCGGACCCTTGGAAAAGCTAACCAGAATCAAATGTCGGGACAGTTTATGGGGTCATGTCGGACCGTTGTAAAAGTCGCACCCTCAAAAGGTGTGCCCAATCTTTCAAAAGGCGTGCCATCAAAAGGCGTGCCCAATCCAAAAAAAGACGTGCCATCAAAAGGCGTGCCCATTCCATAAAAAGTGTGCCGGACATGATGACGAGACGCGTGACCACATTGGCTTGCGCGCCCGTTTTGTCGTCTGGCGTCAAGTGGCGCGCGATGCGCGTGTCTGCCTCGGCTATTTAACCAAGACGGAGGCTGAGGCTGAGGCAG